GAACAGTCCCTGGGAAGCTACTTGGAAATTTTCCAAAAGTTTAGTGATCGATGCTTGCACTGTTGGTAAATTATACCTTCATGGAAAGGTGCACAGCAAATGGTAAGGTGTCCAGCTACTAGCCAAAAGGTTGGTGGTCTGGGCCCACCTGGGAATGCTTATTAGGCAGGCCTGGGGGTCTGCTTTCAAAAGGTCAGAGCCTTGAACGTCCTACGGAGAAGTTCTACTCTAAACACCAGGAGTTGGAATCAACGCACCGGACAACTAACTGTTGGTTTCAAATTGGCTCTACATGTGTGTGAACCAATTTAAATTCAGTGAAACATGCTCTGGGTAATTTCAACTAGTTCATTTATCAGATAAGGTTCAAACTAGGGCTCTCAACTGGTTCAGTCATGGCAGACCAAGCAAAACTGGGACAGACCTGAATTTCAAAAACTTGGATGATCTAGAATGCTAACCTGAATGAGAACAATTACTGGTCAAAACCAGGGCGAGGAGACTGGGGTAGTGAACCCTTTCAGGAGCCTGATGCATGTGACAATGGATGATTTCCAGGGCTGTGAAGGGTGGTGTGGTCAGCTGCCATCTTCGAGTTGGGCACCGTGGTTTCCCCGTGAACTGATAAGAGTTGGTTGCTGTGCCACAAACACACCGTCCTGGTTTTCTAACAGGGAACGCAACTTTCTAGCAGGGCTGCGGCCTGTGGGTTTTTTCCCTGTTCCAGTTCACCCATATTTTAAAATTTCTCTGTTGCGTTTGGGGCAGGACTGAACTGGCTAACCAGTTTGAAGCCTGCTCTAAATGGCTGCTCTAAATGGTCTTCTCAGTTTAATAGCTTCTGATTAGCATAGTGGAATGGTTAAATCTAGGCTCTGGAATTAGTCTCCAATCCCATCTCTCACCTTAGGAGTCTGTCCTTCACAGGTTATCCTTTTGAAACCTGTTTCCTCCTCACCTACAAAACGTGAACAGTAATTCTCTCATAGGCTTGTTGTAAAAATTTAACACCAGACTTATGCAAAGCCTTAGAACAGTAACTGGCAGATAGTATGTACAATTAAGTGGTAACTGTTATTATAGGTTCCTTGTAAGTAATCAAAGAAAGTTCTGCCTGGATCCAACTGGCTGCACTAGGAGTCGAGACACACGGCCTGACAGTTGATAATGAACTCCTGCTTGGAGGCGGTTTCTCCTCTCACAGACCCATCCGCTTCTCCAAACCTCCTCTAAGGCTTCTCGACATTCCCTTCCAGTGAGTGAGGATCGCACGATTGATCCCCGTTCTATTTCTTCAACCACCTCCCCCGTAGCCTGAGCCTGTCGTCTTTAGGAGCCGTCAAGTCGGCTCTGACCCATCGCCACCGGGCGCAGCAGGACAAACCACTGCCCGGTCCCATGACATCCTCACAGCCATGTCCGTGCTCCTGTGCCCGAACCTAAACCCAACCTCGGCAACAGAAAAGGTTCCCTGCCATTGAGTTCCGACTGCACAGGGACCCTAAAAACCAAGCTGGCAATGAGTGAACCAGCGAAAACGCGGTCACGCCGGTGTTTTCAACAGTCTGAGAGGCGTTTCAGGGGGAAGCTGCGGTGGCATCACTCCTGCGTCAACGGCGTAGTGGAATCCATGCCGAGTGCATTCTTAGGGCGAGGTGGTGCTTGCCAGCAATAGGCAGGTCTTTTCATAACTAGGAATTCATTTGAGACCTCAGGGCTTGCTGCGTTTGACCCTAAAGCCCAACCCACTCCTCAAGGCTAAAGACTATGCCTTCTTTCGTTCTGAAACAGTCCGTGAGCGTCACTATCAGGGGCGTCACTTTGATTCAAAGAGCAACCGCCTCTTGTTAAACACAGGTGCGTGCAAACACACACACGCTGCTCACGGCCATTGAGGTGATCAGCTTCTGGTTCATAGGGACCCTACGGGATGGGGTAGAGCTGACCCCCGTCCACTTCTGAGGCTGGGAATCTATGGAAGCAGCAAGTCTCATCTTTCAAAATGAACGGCAGGGGCGTCTGAGCCGCCTCCCTGTGGTTAGCAGCCCAGCGCACATGGGAACGGATAATTGACCCTGCAATCTGTAAGGTAGAAATGAGCTTTTCCTTTACAGATGAGAAAACGGAGGCCAGGAAGTGCTGGAGTAGGCACTTGGACCCGATCCTCTGCCTCCAATACGCTGCTCTTGCCCCTCCAGGCCCTGCCTCTCTATCCCGTCCCCACCCAGCTGTTAATTCGGACAACAACATCCTCTGGTGTCCGAAGTGGGGGCTGCAGCAGACTCAGAAAACACACACACACACACACACACACACACACACACACACACACACAGCGATGGCTGCCAGATGAGCCTCTTAGTCCTAGTTCAACATTCCTTTTGGCATTTAGATTTCCACTTTCTCTCCCCCCCACCCCCCCTTGCATTTCTGGGATTAGAAAGCAGGTGGAGGAAACCATGTGCGTCTCGGTACCGTTTAGGACGAAGGCTGTTCCCGCACCACGGAGGGCATCCTGGTGGGGATATTTGCACAGTTTATTTGGGTAGGTTCAAAAATAGTCCTTCAACAATACAATCAGACTCTACCATGGGCGAGTACAATGCAATTATGGCTTGGTTACACTGAAAAGAGAGGGAGAAAATGTCAACAGTGAGGTTTGGGGAAACGACAAGCCAAACTCCGTCGTGACCTCCTGCCGTCCCAATCTCTGCATTTCCGAGAAGCGAGCTGTCAAGACTGAGCCCTTAGAGCTTTGGGAGGACCCCGGGCGGGCGGACGACACGCACTCAACGGGACAGCTCATCAGAGCGTGTGAGGCCGCGGCTCGGCACACAGGTGCTCTGCGCTGCTGCAGAAGGCAGATAAAAAGCCCGATAAAAGGCTCCCCCCGTGGGTACTTGGAATGCCAAAGTCTTTCACCTAAATGAGTTCAAAATACATATTGTCCTGGGCCAAATTATACAGTGTCAAGCTCTGACTGTATGTATTTATATATGTTGGCAGAGCAGGCTACTTTTGGGGCGCCACAGCTGTATGCCGGCATCCTGTGCCCAGCTGGGTTCCCATGACTCTCCCCCCAAGCCCATGAATCTCCTAGCATTTGGTTCCAGGGCAGGCAAGAGGTGAAGTCAGCGTTTCACAAGCGCACAAGGGAACGGGCCCCGGAGGACTTGGATTTCTAATGAAAGTCAAAGTAGGACCAAATGTGTGCCTCTGCCAGCAAAGCTGGCATCTTCTCAAGGGCGGACAACACGCACTCAACTGTGCCATGTGGGGGCAGGGCAGGGGGCAAGACCAAGCCACTGTGCTCTGGGTCAACCTCTGCAAAGTGACAACGCTAAGTACTGTGGGCTCTTCCTCTGGCTGGCCTCTGCCCAGACCAGTCCTCCCAAAGGGCTGACCAGTTTCTCCGAACACAGAAGGCGGGCTCCAGCCCTGGGCAAAGGGATCCATGTAGATCCTTGCTGAAAGAGGAATGACTAATGAGAGAGAAGTTTGATTCCAATGTCCCTGCCCGCGCCGTATTTTCCTGACATCTAGAGAATTCGTGGGCACACTGCTTTCCGTTTTTGTCTTTTTTGGAAGGGGGCCTGTTATTCTTCTCTATGCCTGAATAAAGATGGAGAAATGGTGGAAAAACGGGGAGGATATCTGAACCTTTAAGGCAAATAAGGAGAAGACCAGTGTATGGGGTGAAACCTCCCACAAGGCTATTTTTCTCTAAGTACATGGGTCGCCTTGGTCATGCAATGAAGAGGACCAAAGGCAGATCAGAGGGGCTGTGGCAAGTGTGGCTGTGCCTTGCTACCCTGAGCTGAGGCCTGTCTCTGAGCTTTGGCTGATCCAACGATGTGAAAGTCGCCAGCCGGGCCAGCGCTACGCCTTCCGTTCTGGAGGGGAGAGTGGGGTGAAAGAAGAAGATGGGAGATAAATTTGTTACCCCAAGTCCAATCAGTGTTCCAGAGCTGAGGTCAGATACTCCTTTGGTCCCGGTGCCCAGACTCACCTCTCCACCCACCTCTTTCCCTTGCCCTGGAATATTCTGGCGCTACCTGCCCCACCTGCAGCTCCCCAACGAGGGCACACACGCTCGCAACCCTGAGCGTGCGCACCAGCTAACTTCCTTCTCTCCTTGGAGTGCTGTCAAGTCGCAGACCTGTAGTCCCTCCTGTTTGTTCTCCCCACTGTCTGGACCCTACCACGATGAGAACAATTCTCTTCCACGCCCGTTTTCCAGGAGGACTCTAAGCAACCTGGATCCATCATCTGTGCCTACCGGAGCAGTGCCAGCTCCTGGCAGATGCTCAGTATTTCCAAAGGAGGGGCAGATGGGATCACGCTCTGCCCATTTTGATGTTGTTTCCTAAGAGGAGACTGAGTGTCTACCAGGGCCTGATGAGTAGTTTCCCCCGCTCCAGTTATTGCCCTGGCGTACCCACAGTTTACAAATCTGGGGCCCTTCTGGTTTGACTTCGTCAGCCATGAGTAAACCAGGAAGCACTGATTTAAAGCCCTGCCCTCCCATGCAAGAGAAAGTCCCCTGGGATAGAAGGAGCTGGCACCAACTCCATGAAAGCTGCAGGTCGGGCCCTAAACAGGGCGATCTGCCCACCCAGCGGTCCACTTTCACACTTCCCAGCCCAGCCAGGGACCTGACATCCGTGCAGGAGCCACAGTTGAGACCTGCCCCGCCCCACCCCACCCGGCCAGCTTCCTCGGTGAGAACACCACACATATCCTAGAGGGTCGCTGCAGCTCAGAGACGCTCCCCAAGATGGCTGCCATCTCAGACCAGGCAGTCGTGCCCTCCAGCCTCAGCGGTATGGGGTGGAAGCAGTTCTGAAGGCTGTGTGCGCGTGCATGTGCGAGTGTAGGAGTACACAATGCTATGGTTCCAAGGCGGTTCACAGGGCAGTGTGATCATGGATACATGGGCCTGCAGTTTGAATGCCGTCCTTCTCAGCACAGAGCTCAGAGGCAGGACACACAGGCAATGCTTTGGGCTTCCTATTTTGTTTATTTCCTTTAAGATCATAAGACCACCTCCTTGCAACTTCCAGAGAGAAAATACAAAACAAGAAACAGACTTGGTTTCAAATGCATAAACAGTGTGCTGGAGTATATTACTGATCACATTGTTCAGAAGAATGTCAGCTGACACCAGGGCACTTCAATAATATTCCTGAGGAATAAACACGATTTCTTTTTCTTCCCACTGGGATGGTCTCAGGTCATTGCTCCTGTAACAAAAACAAGGACACTTGGTTTAGAACTGCAAGGGCTGTGAGTTGAAAGCCCTAAACTGCAGCTTTAGGTTGGACCCAAGGGACTGGCAGGGGCCCAACCCTTCCAAGCAGTGCTTTGAAATTGCCCAAGGGGAGGGTTGAGCATGCACCCAGGCGCCTGGAAGACCAGGTCCCAGGACCAGAGGAGAAGGGGAAAGTGGAATGGGCTCAGCACTCAGTCCCTGCTAACTGCCCTGCTACAAGTTATCACAGGGAGCCACGGGCGAGTGACAGCAACATGAGCCTGGAATCCAACAGCCTGCCAAGTAAGTGATCCTCGGTGAGAATGCTTTCTCACTGCGGACTACGGATAGCAATGGCTGTCTCTCAGACTGTGGGGAGTCAGTCCAGAGAGGAGGAGTGGAGAGGGAAAGCCCTAAGACGGCCCAGAGGGCACATCGGGCGCACCCATAGCAGATGCTCTAACAGGACCCCACAGCCCGCGTTGGGATCGTGTGCCCTTCTCAGGGAGGGGAGCATGACAGCATCAAGGCACAGGCTCAAGTTCGGATGAAATTACAAGGCCATTTTGGAACAGCACACACAAGGCTGTGAAACCTGTAACAATATTTTCCACAGTAACTCCCAGACATTAAATATAATATGCATATAATCACCCCTACATCATCACCCATGACAACTCACTTTGGAACAATACAAACCTTTTAAACAATTAAAAAAAAAAACCAAACCCGAGGCTGCTCTCCCAGTCCCTTCCTATCCTCCCCAACGCTCAGCGCTCTGGTGCCAGGGACGTGCAGAGTCAGAGAGCAGTGGAAACTGCCTGTCGTGGGCCTCCGCGGCCATGCAGCTGCGCCTCTACTTGCACTGCCCCTCGATTACCTCACCCTGGCTTAAGGGCAGAAGTGGTTCGTTAGCATGGAGGGCAGGGAAAGGCCTGCCAGGCTCCCTCGCCAGCCAACCCTCCCTGCTCCCAGCGCTCCCCCAGCACGCACAGGCTGGTCTGCAGGCAGCCAGCAGGGCACAAGCAGGTTCGCAAATGGAAGCTGCTGAGCGGGGCCGGGACTCTGTGACCCGTGTCTCCAGCTCTTGACCAGAACCAGACTAGGACACTCGCTGCCACCACAGTCCCGCCCTGCCTGTAATCCTGGTGGGACAAGGAGCAAGTCCGTTACTCTCCCTTAGTTGGTCTCAGCCAGCTGTACTGGCCAGTTTTCACTCAGATGGCACCTCGCATCCTAACACCACTGTCAAACTCTGTTCATAAGCTCCTCTGATCCTCACAACAACCCTAGTAAGCAAGAGATGATGGCCTACATTCTATGGACACGGAATGGACACTCAGAAGTGAGCAGACTCGAGGCCACAAAGGCAGGAAGTGACGGGTGGGCCAGGACGCTGCACCCTGCCTGGTCTTCAGGCCTCTGCCTCTGCCTTTATCATACTAAGTCTAGTTCAAGGGTCACCTGGAAACAGGAACAAAGTCTTCAGTGACGGTTGCATTGTTACAAAGGTTTTTCTCTTAGTAAGCCTGTGGCCACTAACCCTTATCTCCCCATAGGGCAGACACCTTACACTCCAGTCACTTACTGTACATTAATTTGCGCGCCAATTACGACCCAGGCCCTGGAGAGACTAAAACAAAAAAAGACCCACTCAGTCGCTGAGGAGCACCAGGCTTCTCCGATCCCTTCACCTAACCCACAGTAAATAATCATCTAACACAGGCTGCTGGCTACGCACAGTATGTTAAGAGGGATGTCTAATAATTTCCCGGCTTTTCTGAGCCATTAAAAACCCGTCTGAAGACAAGGACTTCAGCAGAATCACGTGAGCCCTTCCAGTCCAGAACCTTCCAGTCTACCCTTCAGTATAAAGCAGGTTAGTGGCTCTCTTTGGACTTGAATGTGTGTGGGATATTTATAGGTTCTTCTATGATCTTGCACAAACAGTGCTTACAGATACAAACTTCCCAGAGTTTTATTGGTTCCAACAGCTCCCACGTGAGTATATGTCGGAATGCATATGTACATCTGAAGGCACAGGAGAGGGACTCCACAGCATTAACCAGTGATGGTATTGCTCCAGGCCCCAGGGCAGGAACAATCTCTCATGACACACATGCTTTATTGTTTACACGTAGCTCTCTCTGAGGAATTTTCCAGGGGCGCAGGAGAAAACATTGTTGGTTTTTTTTCCTTGGGAAAGACAATGAAGCAAAAATGTGTACATACTTTGACAAATTTTCCATGAAGAAGATATGGAGCCTGGAAATCGTGCTGACAGTTGGAGTAGGCCATCCCCAATCCCATGCCAGAACCAAAGGCTAGTGGCCACATCCTTCCTAGGGAACAGGAAACAGAACATCCCCACAGGGAGCGATTAGGGGATGATAGGGTCCTCTTTCCACTACAACACACTTGCTTAGGGGTGAGTAAATATTGTACATACATCAAACCAATGACTACAATATACTAAACACTTTAGGCCACATTTAATGGCCAAAAGAGCTCTGTTAGTAAACTTATTAATTTAGTAAAGTTTATAAAGTGCCTGTGCTACTAAGTTTAAGGTCAATCAGTGGTACAGTATGAAAACAGACAGAGGTGAACCTTCCAATTTTTCTGTTATCAGATCTGATGTGGGCTTATTTTAACTAAATTATTAACTTTAGTAGCAGCAATAATCTCTCAATAAAACTCAAATATTTTACAAATATGTAAAAATGAAATAAAAAACAGCTTCACAAGTATTTATATACTTTACGCGTAGTAAGGCATGGGTTAACTTCAGCCAATACTCCAAATGATTATATCACATCAGCACAATGTGTTAATTATAATCCTCTAGTCCCGTATTCCTAGCCAGTTCTTCATGAAAAGTGGCATCTATTCAATATGCAAACTTCAGAAGTTCTTCCACAGAATGAGAAGGGACATTGCCTGCTCCCTGCTTGGGAGAACTTTTGGCCAAGAAGCATGTGTATTTCTGGTCCACTTGTTTTCATTGCTAGCAGGGCTCTCATTTTCAAGTTCTTTAGAAAAACTTGCAATTAATTAGAAATATTTGAAAGTGTAGATTTGGTCAAATGATTCACTGGCATAAAGAACAGAGCTTCAAAGTGCTATCCTAGGGAAGACTTCCGGAGCCCTGACTCAGTGCCCAGGGGAATGCTGGAGATGCCCAAACCCTATTCGGCTCCAGAGCTCACTTGTCACTGGCCCAGCCCATCCCCGGGAGAGGACTGGCCTGCCTTCCTCCAGGGTCTCCACCATCCCCACGCCTGCACGAAGGCAGTCTGTTGGAAGAGAAGAGTAGCACTTACTTTTAAAGACGGTAAGGGAGAAAATAATTCCTAGTCCAAAACCAGTACCTGCAAAAAAGAAGGAGAAGCATATTAAGTCCCATCAGGCGACAAACAAGAAAATGTGTGTGATCAACCAGAACGTCTTTTCTGCGGAGCCGATAGCAGAGTCGCTTTGTTCCTTTCCACCCTCACAGGTTTGACGGATGCCTTTTGTCCCCAGGCCACAATCAGAGGTAAAAATGTTATTCACCTTTCCGCCTAGACAAGCCGAGAACAGACCAACTCTGTCCTGCCTTCCAGAAGCCTCGGGCCTCCTAGGCTCTCCTGTCCACCTTACAGAGGAGCACTCCAGCAAGGAGGGTAACTACACAGTGTCCACAGGAAGCAGCCGGTGAGTGACTGCCGCTCTTTAAGGGGAGGGGAGGACCCCCAGGGCCGCACTATCTCACAAGCCCAATCCTCTAAGTGTCCTCAACTGCACATGCTATTTCCCACTCCTCCTCTTACGCAGGGCATTTTAAATCACTGTCTTTTCAAACGAAGCTAGCTTTAACTATAAAGAACACACAGAAGCCTAGTTCAATGAACTTGTAGGGGAAAAAAATCTAATTTTAAATCAAATACAATAAGGGATTAAAAACAAACAAGCAAGCAGCCCACTGCCATCAGGTTGAGCCTGACTCTCAGCGACCCTCGTCCTGGTTTCTGCAGCTGTAAATATTTATGGGATTGGTCAGTCTTTCTCCTGAGGATGAGCTGGTGAGTTGAACTGCCGACCCTGTGATTGCTGACCAACACCAACCCCTGTACAGTGCCATGGGAGCTCCTTAAAGAATAGAAGCAGCTTGGAAAGTCCCACTTAAAAATGACCAAATCCTCACTTTTACCAATTACTTTTCAAACTTTAGCCATTTGGGTACCACCTTGACAATTTATGCTAAAATCCACACATCATCTACACTCTTAGTTACTTGTTTATTTATTTATTTTAAAAAAATCATTTTATTCGGGACTCGTACAACTCTTATCACAATCCATCCATCCATCCATCCATCCATTGTGTCAAGCACATTTGTACATTTGTTGCCATCATCATTCTCAAAACATTTGCTTTCTACTTGAGCCCTTGATATCAGCTCCCTACTCCCCCCTCCCTCATGAACCCTTGATAATTTATAAATTATTTTGTCATGTCTTGCCCTGTCGATGTCTTCCTTCACCCACTTTTCTATTGTCTGTCCCCCAGGAAGGAAGTCACATGTAGATCCTTGTAATCAGTTCCCCCTTTCCAACCAACCCTCCCTTTACCCTCCCAGTATCACCACTCACACCACTGGTCCATCTGCCCTGGATTCCATGTTTACAGTTCCTATCTATACCAGTGTACATCCTCTGGTCTAGCCAGACTTGCAATGTAGAATTAGAATCATGATAGTGGGAGGGCGGGGCCGGGAGGAAGCATTTAGGAACGAGAGGAAAGTTGTATGTTTCATTGTTGCTACATCGCACCCTGACTGGCTCATCTCCTCCCCGAGACCCTTCTGTAAGGGGGTGTCCAGTTGCCTACAGATGGGCTTTGGGTCTCCACTCCGCACTCCCCTCATCTATAATTTGACCACAGATTTCACAGAAGAACCCTGAGCAAGCAGACCAAGAGAAGCAGAACAGAGTGACACATGATGGGGACTAGACTTTCTGGAACAGAAGATAGACGAAATCTTTACACTACTGTCCTGAGATAATATTTAAACCTTAAAAATATATCATTCCCCTTTATTTTTGCTTTTTAAAGAAAGAACAATAGTTTAGCTTAACTAGTAAAGAATGTTTGCTTGGAGCATTATGCTCTTTTAAAATCTATTAGATTAAAGGAATTCTGGTGGCATGGTGGGCTACCCATTGAACAGCTAACTGCAAGGCCGGGGGTCCAAACTCACCAGTCACTGTGCAGAAGAATAATGAAGCAGTGTTGCTCCCATAAAGATTTAAGGCCTTGAAACCTAGAAAGGCATCTCTACTCTCTCCTACAGAGTGGTTGTGAGTTGGAACTGACTCTCTGGCAGTGGTTTATTCTGGAACAAACTGACAGGAGCAACTCCAAGGGTCAGACAGGAATCCTGAAAAGGCAGTGAGCTTATGTTCATGGGGGAGGGACAACTCAGAAAAGGCAGGTGAAGAATGGTTGTACAAACTGAAGAATGTGTCAATGTCACTAAATGGTGGGTGAAGAAACCGTTGGATTGCTGTATGTTTTTGCTGTGCATATTCTTAACAAAAACAACAAAATAAATATCTTAGGGGAGAATCACCTCACATGTGAGAGTTATTTCATTATCAAAAAAGCTCTACAAGCCAAGGAAGCAGCAAAAAGCTGATTTATTTCCTCTTTTAGATTGGCAGAGTAATTTTTTAAAGACTTCTCCTGAGACCTACTCCAATGTCCCCGTCCCCCTCTACTGAGTGTCCACTCTAGGGTCTGGCAAAACCCTTCCTAATTCTCACCTCCCTTGATGGTTTTCAAATGTATGCTGCTGAGATTCCAAGAGCTTTTGCTGTAACCATGATTTTAGGCTACTACAGTATAAAACTTCAAAGTCAACCAAATCTGTGTGTGTGTGTGTGTGTGTGTGTGTGTTAACTGTTTTGGGCGCTTTTTTTTTGTTAAATCACTTTATTGGGGGCTCGTACCACGCTTATCACAATCCATCCATCCATCCATCCATTGTGTCAAGCACATTTGCACATTTGTTGCCATCATCATTCTCAAAACATCTGCTTTCCTCTTGTGCCCCTGCATCAGCTCATTTTCTCCTCTCCCTCCCCGTTCCCCCTCATGAACCCTTGAAAATTTTTAAGTCATTATTGTTTTGTCATATCTTACACTGTCCAACGTCTCCCTTCACCCAGTTTTCTATTGTCCCGTCACCCTGGGAGGTGGTTATATGTAGCTCCTTGTAATTGGTTCCCCCTTTCTACCCGACCTACACTCCACCCTCCCGGTATGAACACTCTCACCACTGGTGAGGGGCTCATCTGTCCTGTATCCCCAGTTTCCAGTTTGGGAAACATCCAAATGGGATGTTTCCAGTTCCCATCTGTACCAGTGTACATGCTCTGGTCTAGCTGGATTTGTACAGTAGAATTGGGATCATGATAGCGGAGGGGAGTGGGGACAAAACATTTAGGAACTAGAGGAAAATTGTATGTTTCATTGTGGCTAAACTGCATCCTGACTGGCTCGTTTCCTCCTCACGACCCTTCTGTAAGGGGATGTCCAGTTGCCCCCAAATGGCCTTTAGGTTGTCCCCCCTTCTGCACTCCCCCTCATTCACAATGAAGTGATTTTTGTTCCTTGATGCTTAATACCTGATCCCTTCGACATCTCGTGATCACACAGGCTGGTGTGCTTCTTCTATGTGGGCTTTGATGCTTCTGTGCTAGATGGCTGCTTTTTTTTACCTTCAAACCTTTAAGACGCCAGATGCTATATCTTTTGATAGCCGGGCACCATCAGCTTTCTTCGCTACACTTGCTTATGTCCCCATTTATCCTCAGCGATCATATCAGGAAGGAGAGCACACAATGATATGATTTCTCCTACTTTGATGCCTGAAACCTGATCCCTTCGACACCTCGTGATCACACAGGCTGGTGTGCTTCTTCCGTGTGGGCTTGTTGCTTCTCAGCTAGAACTAGGAGGTAAAGGGCATTTATAGAGGTCTAAATACAGGCATGTATATATGTAAATATATTTATTTATGATGATGAGGAAATAAATCTATGAGCATATATTTATAGGTTTAGTACTAAGGTAGCAGATGGACATTGGGCCTCCACTCAAGTACTCCCTCAATGCAAGAACACTTTGTTCTACTAAACTGGCAGTCCGTGATGCTCACCTTCCCAATACGATCATTGAAGACAAATGGGTGCATAAGCAAATGTGGTGAAGAAAGCTGAGGGTGCCAGCTATTAAAAGATATAGCGTCTGGGGTCTTAAAGGCTTGATGATAAACCAAATCTTCCTGTTACAAATGCAGGGAACTTTACCAACGGCAGTAAGCTGACCCCTATCTTTCTGAACCATCTCACTCACTGTCACTGAGTCGATACCAACTCAGAGTGACCCTATGGGACCCTGCAGAACTGCCCTTCTCGGCTACGTATCTTTATGGGAGCAGAAAGCCGAGTCTTTCTCCTGTGGAGCGGCTGGTACTTTCAAACTGCTGACCGTGAGGTTAGCAGGCTAACTCATAACCCACTACACCACCATGCCTCCTTGCTGCAGAACAGCCAATTGCCATTATTTGCAGTCATTATGTTCTTTAAAAAGCCACTGTGAACCCGAAATTAGTGAATAATGAACAAGTTCTCTTAGAGAAACACAGGATCAGGTTCCTGTAAGCCTCTGGCCACAACATTTTTCCAATTAATCTGTACATAACCTTGTTTTTACATGTTTCTGTTGAAAGAGACCTTATTTCAATATATTGCTGTTATTCATTAACATTGAACGCATGGCTGCTGTACACGTCTGAATGAAGCTTATCCATCTCATTTTCTCCATAAGGACCATCGTGGGTTAGGGACATTAGAAAGCATCTCAACGCTACATTTGGGGGTCATTTGTAACAGTGAAACAAACAAACCAAAAAGAAAGAAAAGGAAAAAAAACCCAAACAACCAAACTGTGGCATTAGACCATGCTGAGCACACTTGTTTAAAGCATGAGAAGCCAATAATAAAGAACATAGCCAAACTCAACTTTGTAGCTGCTCCGTCCGTACATCAGTGGGGGAGCCCTGGTGGCATAGGGGGTTACGAGTTGGGCTGCTAACTGCTAAGCCAGCAGCTTGAACCCACAGGCGGATCCTCAAGCGAGAGATGAAGTTTTTAAGTCCTAAAAGGATTTATGGTCTCGGGAACCCAAAGAGCAGCTCTCTGTCCTATAGGGTCCCTAAGAGTTGGGATGGACGAAACAGCAGTGAGTTTGGTTACTACATCTGTGAACGGCTGTTATGAGTATTAATTTTGAAGTTATAGATTGTATTGCGTAGGCAAGCACA